ACAGAAGTCAACATCAGCTGAGAGACATCAACAATACAGATCATAAACACAGGACGCACTGTAGAGCACTTTAATATAGTCAAGCTCGTAAAGCTGGGTCTGATTATCTGCCTTGTCAGAATCGGCTCTCACTCAAGCTAATATAGTAAGTCAAGTCAGGACAAGACAAGACAAGACAAGTCAATATCAAGTCAAGTCAATTCAAGCCAATACAAATCAAAATAAGTCAAGTCAAGCCAACTCAAGTCAAGCCAAGCCAAGTCAAGCCAATACAAGTCAATGTAAGTCAAGTCAAGTCAAGTTAAGCCAATACAAGCCAAGTCAAGTCAAGTCAAGTCAAGTCAAGCCAATACAAGTCAATGTAAGTCAAGTCAAGTCAAGTTAAGCCAATACAAGCCAAGTCAAGTCAAGTCAAGCCAATACAAGTCAATGTAAGTCAAGTCAAGTCAAGTCAAGCCAATACAAGCCAAGTCAAGTCAAGTCAAGTCAAGTCAAGTCAAGTCAAGGATAAGTAAATGTTAATTTAAGTCAAGTCAATGTGAAGTCAAGTCAAGTCAAGCCAATACAAGTCAATGTAAGTCAAGTCAAGTCAAGCCAATACAAGCCAAGTCAAGTCAAGTCAAGGATAAGTAAATGTTAATTTAAGTTAAGTCAATGTGAAGTCAAGTCAAGGTAAAGTCAATGCCAAGTCAACCAAGTGAAGTCAATGTGAAGACAAGTCAATATTAAGTCAAGTCAAAGTCAAGTCAAGTCAGGTCAATATCAAGTCAAGTCAAGTCAAGCCAATACAAGTTAAAATAAGCCAACTCAAGTCAAGTCAAGTCAAGCCAATACAAGCCAAGCCAAGTCAAGTCAAGTCAAGTCAAGTCAAGTCAAGTCAATTTTGAGTCAAGTATGTCAATGTCAAATCAAGTCAATGTCGAATCATTGTCAAGCCGAGTCAAGGATAAGTAAATGTTAATTTAAGTCAAGTCAATGTGACTAAGTTAAGTTAAGTTAAGTTAAGTCAAGCCAAGTCAAGCCAAGCAAAGCAAAGCAAAAGCCAAGTCAATCCAAGCCAAGTCAAGTCAAGTCAAGTCAAGTCAAGTCAAGTCAAGTCAAGTCAAGTCAAGTCAAGTTAAAATCACATGTTATGCATGTAAGTATAGCAAAGTGTGTGAGATGAATAGGTCATCGTAGGGGCGATAACTGAGAATAGAACACAGCCAGGAGCTCTGCTTCTACACTGCTCTAGAAGTGTAGATCATCAACACAATATTGCGATGCTGTTTGTGAATGTTTGTTGGAGCGATGGATTCGGGAAACACTGACTCGCTGAACTATGTAACGACAAAACTTGCACTCTTGATTGGCTAATGATGCTTTGGGGAAACAGCTCTGAGTATTTTAGACATGCTGAGAACAGATGTATAATACAAGGAAAATAAAGACCTTCAAAAACAGCATCACATGCTCTCTGCAAATATATATATGACTTATAAGAACACATGAGGGAATGTTTAAGCAAATAAAGTCTTACTAGGCAGATCTGGAGCGACGTTATCAACCGTAACATCCAAATTACCCAGAATCACAGGCAGCTTGGCCATCTTTTCTGGCCTGAGAGGAGAGAAAACACAGAGGAGGTGAAATACACACGAGTAAGTGCTGAAACTCACAATATTCTGTTCCTCAAACAACATGTGTGTGCGTCTAACAGAAGTGTGTGCAGCACTGATCTGCAGGTCAAGCAAACACTGAACACCTGAAACTCTGCGTGAGTGTGTGTGTTATTGTTATTACTGGAGTGTGTGAGTGTGAAACTGACTTCTTGAAGTCCGCCAGCAGCTTGAACACGTCCTCATTGGAGAGTTTGTTCCCGTCCTGCCTATAGAGAGCAGAGAAACGAGCACTCTTGTCCACCGTCCCCGACGCGTCCTTAAACACCGTCCTGACACACACACACACACACACACACACACACACAATCTTCAACATCTCACTGGAAAGATCAACAGTGTCATGTTTAAACTCCAGCCACCGCCTCTTCTCCAGCACAAAACACAGGAACAGTAAAACAGTCGCATCGATATTTTCAGCACACTGATGTTAGTTCTGTTTCACTTGTATGCTGAAAAAATTGTAAACACAAGTATTATTACCCAGATTTTGCGTATGCATAGAAAATAATGCTGAGTTCAGACTGCGTGATTTTAGCCCCGATTTTGGCTCGCCGACAGGTTTTGAGAAATCGCCGACAAATGCCTGAAATCACAGGCAAATCGGTACTTGTGCACGTGAGTGACAATCACACAGTGTGAACTATCAAAGACGCGATCTGAGAGAATCGCCGATGAGTCGCTGATGCCTGTGAGATATTTGGCGTGCTGAATATCTGGAGCTGTCGGCGATGCAAATCATGCCGTGTGAATTGAGTTATGACTGAAAATAACATCAGCGATCGCCTACAGCCAATGAGAGAGCAGCATTCACTTGTGTGTGCGTGAGTGTGTGTATACCTGCTGCAGGCCAGCGGGAGGTTGAGGGAGAAGTTAAAAGCGCTCATTCTCGGTTTATTTGGACCCACGAAATGGAGGAAAAACTAGTGGAGGTTTGACAGGACTCAGGAGCACCCATGTCTGTTTGACGTTTCATACTGAAAGAAATTACTTTATTATCAACTTAAGTTGAGGAGAAATGGCTAATTCCCTTTAAACCCAGGTGAGCAAATATGTACATTTTTTCACCCCATTAAATGCTTCTTTCTCATTATGTAGTTAATAACAAAAGATATAGGCTACTGCGTGCTTTTGGCTGTGAGATGTAGTTTGGACGAAGTAGCGGCGATTCTTCCTATAGTAAAGTCATGCAATGTGAAAGTCCCTGTCGCCGATCCATCTTGCAGTGTAAACAAAGCAGCGACGAAACGCTAGCCCAGAAAGTCAAGCAGTGTGAACACATCTGTGACACGACTACTTTGAAAATCATGCAGTCTGAACTCGGCATAAGACGAAGAGCATTAAACTATGAGTTTATTTGCGTAAAAACTTGCTGGATAAGTTGGCGGTTCATTCTGCTGTGGGGACCCCGGATTATTAAAGGGACTAAGCCGACAAGAAAATGAATGAATGAAAGAAAAGTTATACTATTTTAACACCGTCTTAATGCGAGTAATGTGTTACTTTACTCGTTACTTGAAAAAGTAATCTGATTACACAACTTGCGTTACTTGTAATGTTTCCCCACAACACTGAGCATAAATGGACTTCATTAATATTCATCTAGTATTCAGACCTGTGTGTGTGTGTGTGTGTGCTTCAGGTGTCTTTTCCTCATCATACAGTGCATTTCTCACCTGGCGGCCCATGCAAACGGCATTCGGTACTGACCCAGACGACTGCAGGCCATCTTAGCGTTCTTCAAGACTTTCTGAGCCGCCTGAAGACAGAAGAAACAACAATAACACTTATAAAGACCAGCAGATCTCAGATCAGGCCATCTCTGAGGGACATTTCTCTCATTTATGCAGCGTCAAATCACTTTTCTGTGGATTATCTTCTGCAAAAATCACTTGTATAATGGGTTTAACCCCAGCAGTGTGTGAATATCTCCAGCCTCTAATGCTCAACATGTATTCATGGTGTTTGTTCTAATCAGACTTGATAAAAACAGTCTGCACAATCACTTTGATTGACATTCTTCCTTTGTATGATGTCATCAGAGGGGGAAAGCCCCGCCCACTAGTGAGTGTTTCTCCCTCATTAGCATAAACAGCAGCCCTGAGTGAGAAGCAGCCATCTGTCCATTAGCCATTAAAGTGTTTGAATCTGCCATTATGCTGACACACAAGCGTCTGTAGGTCCACCCTCTTCTGAAAAGAGCTCATTTGCATTTAAAGCGACAGTCTCCAAAATGCCACTATTAGGATCAAAGCCTGAAAGGGTCAGTTTCAGATAGTTATTAAAACATTATCTGTGTGCTATTTTGAGGATTAACCCCCAAAACATCCCAAAACAACCTCAAAACATTGTGCATTTCTGAGTGTGAGTGGGCTGGACAAACCACCAGTAGAAAACACACTCTTTCATCTCTCTCACGCTTTACCAGGCACTAGCACCAGTTCTGCACATGTGCACCACACACTTTCTTACAATCACTCCTCCATATCTCTAAAATAAACACCAAGTTTGGCATTAATGAAGTCTGTTTTTTTTAATCGCAAAACCTTGGAGGGGGTGACGAGTTTCTAAATGATATCTCTATAACACACACCGAATGGAAAGAGTATGAAAATCTCTAGGCGAAGTGTGTGTGTGTGTGTGTGTGTGTGTGTGTGTGTGTGTGTGTGTTGAGGAGTGCGTGCGGGATTGTGGTTGGTGGTGGGATATCTAAAGCTCTGATCCAAAAACACCAAAGCTTTAAAAACACACCGCCAACATCTGGTTTTATCCACACACAGGCACACACACACACTCACAAATGCACACACACACACACACTCACAACTGTACCTTAGCAGAGTCTGAGCTCTTCATGTACGGCTCAGCGCAGTGTGTGATTCCTCCCTGTAGAACTTTCTCTATCCGAGCCACCAGGAAGATGTCAGGATGCGGACAGGTCACGGAAAACACTCCCTACACACACACATACACACACAATGGAAGTCAATGAGGCAAAAACAGCCACCAACACAATCAGAGAGAGGTCAATCTGAACAATACACAAGGGTTAAATAAATGCTCCTAAAATGCCTCCTGTGGTGTGTGTGTGTCTCTCGGTTATGGGCCAGGTGTTGTGTTGTGTTGTCTGACCTGGCGTGGGTAGTGAACAGCGCTCTCTGCTGGGTTGTTTTCTCTGGGTTGTGGACTCTCTGCTTCTGAATTACCCAGCAGAGCCTTCACTGACGGATGGTTCATGTCCACGTGGAAGTCTGAGGATATCTTACGGCCGCTCTGAATATCAAACAGAGACAGAGACACGAAGAACGGCTCCACCTGAAACACACAAACATTCCTGTCAGCAACTCTCCTCATTAGATTGACCTTTATAGGCCATACATACCATACTATACCATACATCAGCAACACACAGCCTTAAAATCGATCGTTTACAGTATTTAAAGTCAATCTCAAGGCCAAAGAATGAAGAGGGCAAGGCAGGGTTTCAGTGTGGTGTGTTGGTGAGTTACGTTAGTGGTCGGCCCCTCTTCATTCTCCGCCACACAGCTCTGCAGGTTGAAGGACAGATCATTGCAGTTCACTAAGATCCGCTTGCCAAACTTCTCCTCGAAGGGTTTCACATCAGGCTCGATCCCGGAGAAGTCCAGTTTCTGCACAGAGTGGATCAATAAATCATTCAATCAACTCAATCAATCAATACAATCAACTTATCAATTTTTCAATGAATTAAGCAATCTATTAATCAAGAAAACAATTCAATAAGTCAATAAATAAGTCATAAAATTAATTATGCAATTAAATAGTTAAACAATCTATCAATCTATCAATAAGTCAATGAATGAATGAATGAATCAATCAATCAATCAATGAATCAATCAATCAATAAATCAATCAGTCAGTCAGTCAGTCAGTCAGTCAGTCATTCAGTCACTAAGTCAGTCAATCAATTAAAGTAAATTAATAAGTTGATCAATAATTCAATCAAGTCAATGCATCATTTAATCAATCAACACAGTCAATCAATCAATTATTCAATCAATTAAGCAATCTATTAATCAATCAAACAAGTCAATGAGTCAATAAATAAATAAATCAATCTGTCAATTGATTATTCAAGCAATTAAGCAGTTAAACAATCTATCAATAACTCAATGAATCGATTAATCAATCAATCAACCACCAACCAATCAATCAGAGTCTGTCAACCAATTATTCAATCAATCTGCCAATCAAACAGACAAGTCAATCAGTCAAAACACCAATCAATTAATCAATCAATCTACATTTAACCAGTCAATCAATCAATCAATCAATCAATCAATCAATCAATCAAGCTGTCAAACAATCTATCAGTAAGTCAATTAATCAATCAATCAACCAACCACCAAAGTCTTTCAATCAATCAATCATTCAATCAATCAAATCAATAAATCTACATCCAACCAGTCAATGAGTCAATCACTCAATCAATCAATGAACAAACCAGTCAATTAATTAAACAATCAATCAATTAATCATTGAATCAATTAAACAATCTAACAAGGTAGTCAATTTATCAATCAATCCTTCTCTTTAATCAAACAGTCAATTCAATCAATCAATCAATCAATCAATCAATCAATCAATCAATCAGTGAGTGAGTGAGTGAGTGAGTGAGTGAGTGAGTGAGTGTGTTGATCTCTCCTCTTCAGTTATAGTGTGTGTTATTGTGTGTTGTCTCTGCTGTACCTGCAGCTCTGGGTCCAGTGTGAAGAGTTTCAGCCGTGTCTCGCTCCTCATCTTGCTCTCGATGTCTCTGGCGCTCTGGAGAAACACAGCAGCCCACAAGCAAACACACTCAATTCAACAGGAATTACATGGAGACCTATTACGACTCTTTTTATAATAAGTCTGATGTCTCTAGAGATTTATGAACAAGAAGACGAATTTCAAAAATCTTCTATTCGAGACTGCGATGACTTCATTACTGTAAACTCAATAACCCTGTTTCATACCTGAAAACTGTCCATACTGCTGGAGGAGTGATCGCTCTTCGATTGTTCATCATCTACAGCACACAGACAGAGAAAACTCATTAGACCACAACAGCTGTGTTTCAAAGCAAAGATGTGAATTATATTTATGTCAAAACTGGAATATTACATAAAACATCAGTGACTAAAGCAGAGTTTCCAGACAAAAGAGAACACAATCATCACTTCCTGCTAAACAGTGAGAAATATCGCGGAGAGAAGTGGAGTTTGCTGCACTGTTGGGATTCTCCACTGTGGTGTTTGTTCTTCTCTAATAAATGAGCTGCGCCTCAGAAGACAAAGACCACACGCAATGAACACGGCGGCTTATGAAGACATGAGACGGGAGCGCAGACTGATGCTCAAGACAGTTCTGGAGGTAATATTAATCTGTTTGTTAAGTGTGACGTCACACGAAGCTGCTTTCACCCGGAGAGTCTATCAACATGTACGGGAACGCAACAAATAGCAATAAAAAACGTCACATCCATGATGCCAATCTCCCACTCCACCACATCCCAAAGATGCTCTATTGGGTTGAGAGCTGCTGACTGTGGAGGCCAGTGAACAGTACAGTGTATTGAGTACAGTGAACTCATTGTCATGTTCAAGAAACCAGTCTGAGATGATTGAGCTTTATGACATGCTGCGTTATCCTGCTGGAAGTAGAGACAAAGGGATGGACATGGTCAGCAGCAATACTCAGGTAGGCTGTGGCGTTGATGCTCAATTAATACTAATGGACCCAAAGAAAATCTGTCAGCAGAAATGGAGACTCATCAGAACAGCAACGTTTCTCCAATCTTCTATTGTCCAGTTTTGGTGAGTCTGTGTGAATTGTAGCCTCAGTTTCCTGTTCTTAGCTGACAGGAGCGGCACCCGGTGTGCTCTTCTGCTGCTGTAGCCCATCCGCCTCAAGGTTGGACGTGTTGTGTGTTCAGAGATGCTCTTCTGCAGAGCTCGGTTGTAACGAGTGCTTATTTGAGTTACTGTTGCCTTTCTATCAGCTGGAACCAGTCTGGCCATTCTCCTCTGACCTCTGGCCTCATCAACAAGGCATTTGCATCCACAGAACTGCCGCTCACTGGATATTTCCTCTTTGTCGGAGCATTCTCTGTAAACCCTAGAGATGGTTGTGCGTGAAAATCCCGGTAGATCAGCAGTTTCTGAAATACTCAGAGCAGCCCGTCTGGCACAAACAACCATGCCACAGTCAAAGTCACTTAAATCCCCTTTCTTCCCCATTCTGATGCTCGCTTTGAACTGCAGCAGATCATCTTGACCATGTCTAAATGCCTAAATGCAGTGAGCTGCTGCCATGTGATTGGCTGATTAGAAATTTGCGTTAACAAGCAGTTGGACAGGTGTACCTAATAAAGTGATGAAGACCTTGTAGGTTGAAATGTCTTTTGAGACATAAAGTGGCTTGTGATATAATTAATTTCTTGGATTTTTCTGTTGAGTATGTGATATCTCTGCTTGATATTTGCTCCTGTTTATCAGGATGATTTATTCTCTTTGATTCATAGGATGGAAACACTGCTTTTTTCACAAATGTGTATTCAACATTCCAGTTTTGCACTCTATTGGGTGGGTGGTGCATTTAAAATGAGCAGAATCTGACCGTCGTGCAGGTCTCCGTTCCTCTTGTCCTGCATGGCCAGCTCGAAGCTGCTGTTGAGGATTTTGTTGAGGGTGTTGATCCACTCGTCCATCTCGCCCTCTGAGTCTGCAGCCAGCACATAAGCGCTCTTATCCTGCATCTTCAGCTCGAAGGCAAACCTGCGCACGCGATTGTTCTGCACACAGAGATGCTCACATCAGAACACAACATGCAGAAAGAGCTCAAAGCTAACTCCCCTATACTACAGCTCACACATATCAGTGATATATTTGAAGGCAATGGAAATGCATTTAAACTAGGGCTGCCACTAGGCACTGGACGATAACACCGAAACAGTTCAGTATTGCGTTCAAAGGTTGTTTTCACCCAGACATTTTAAAAGATCTTATTTTAGAGCAGTAATCACAATACTGTAAAAACGTGATATTTTCATCAAAGGTTATCATACAGTCAGAATCTTATACTGAGGCCCATGCCTACCTGCCACTAATGACTGTACTGTACTGTACTGTAGTGTATGTATATATATATATATATATATATATATATATATATATATATATATATATATATATTAGTGCTGACAATTTTCAAAGGTTTCAAAAAAAACCTTTTTTTGAAAATTAATCGCGATTAATCAAATTTGAAAGACTGAAATTTGTAATTTTGGCTATTCAAATGTAAAATTAACGTAAACGCAAGACAAAAACTATTTAAATTCAAAATATAATTCTTTATTAGAATTTGTGTTTAACTTGTAACACAGATTTTTTCAAGTAAACAACATACTCACAATAAACCATCAAGATCCTGGCCTGGACAGCCATGTTTTTTACAGAAATAAAAACACAGGCATGTTAATGCCATTTGAATTTCAAAACAATCAATGCCAATAAAGAAAACATTGATTCCCAAGTTGTTTTCTAAGTGTACAAGTATTACAGATATGGAAAATGGAAAATTATAATAATAATAAAGTATTAAATACAAACAATTGTACTCATTGTAAAGTTGTATTGCTGTGAGTTGAGAACGTTAATTATAAAGTAGAAACAATTTTACTCAGTCCTCTTTTACATTCAGTCAGTTGCTAAGACAGTCCAGTCTGCTGACATTATCGGGGGACAATGTGGACCTTTTTTTTTGAATGATGCGAGCTGAGAGTGCAACGCAATCTCACGGAAATTTGTCACTTTTTGATTTAGTGGCTACGGACGTTTATGCAGGTTTGTTGCTAAGAAATGCACGCACACAGACAGACACACACACCGCGTGCAGGACAGGGCAGGCGGAGCGACATCCTGCAGATTCAACACGCATGATCGCGTTCATCAAATCTGCTTAAACTAAGCGTTCTAAACTATGGCTGTATTTTACAAGGATTCTGACACAACAACGCGAAGCAGACGCTTGCATGTAAGGGGGAAACACGTCAAAATTAATGACACATTTGAGGGCTCATGCTGAAAGGCAGAGGAATGCGCTGTCTGACAGCTTCCGACATCATGTCACTTTTACATAAGACACCAATACTCCAATTTTAATATGATTAGGATAATACTCTTATTAAGAGTCGACCATGTAAACATCGATTTTTGTCTACCTTAAAGGACCACCGAGTCACGAAATGCAGAGGTTTTTCTTGTTCGTTTGCCATGCGGCATCAAATTCCATTAAAACAGAAGTCGAAAGTTAAAAATGAAACACCTGAAATTACATGAAACTCTGGAGGAAACGCTGGAGAGCCTGGTGATGCCACATTGTTTTATACTGAAACTTGCCTTCAAAAAGCGTTTCTTTGGCCTTATCTATATTTCTTTGCATGTTAAACACACGTCGAACACAACAGGAAATAAAAAACAGCAATTGCGTTAATTGCATTTTTTTACGTGTTAGTTATTTCAAATTAATCGCATGCGTTTAAATTAATCGCATGCACTAATCTTGACAGCACTAATATATATATATATATATATATATATATATATATATATATATATAGATTAATCTCACTGTACTTTTGGAATTAAGCTTAATCTAGATTGAAATGGCTCGTTTGAATTCTGCTGAAGGCATTCAGAATATGTGCTCTACACAAATAATGACTAAAAGTAAGTCTTTGAGAACGGGTTTCTCAAGCCAGGTGGCGCATTAGACCAGGGGCTCATCTCCTGTTTCTAAAATGCATCACAAACTGCTGGAGGAACTGTTCTACTCTGATAATTGGTGATGAAAATAAATGATGTTCAATAAGATGTGCTTGTGTTTAATAACCGTTTATTCAGTTCAACATGAATGTCGGCCTGCATAAGCTCCAAACAGCCATTTTTGATCACCTTAATCTGACTTGTCAGGCTCGGACAGAAAACAGAGAGCGAGTATAAGAAATAAAAAGAACACAGTTAGAATGATGAATAAAGGTTTAAAATGAGTTTACAGGTTTGAATCAAAACTTAAAGGCTTGCCTAGTATAATCTGTTATTCGTTTTCATTTAAGTGAGATTAAAACACCAGAAAAAAGTCCAGAAATTGTTCATTCAAGTTGTTTTTCCATCATGAAAGTATGTTAAAGTGTTCTTCATAGCAGAACTCCAGGGTGAGATCAGATGGGAAGGTGTGTGTGTGTGTGTGTTTATGGAGCTGAGCATGATGGGAAGGTAAAAAAAGCAGCTCTCTGTGTTTTGATAACTGATAAACCTTCCCTCTAAGGACTCATTTTTCCACATCCACTCCCAAAATAAAGCGCTGCGCCCACAGCTGGGCTATTTCAGAGAGGAATTTCTGGAAGCTGTGGTCGTAATCACTCCGTCACACCCTTCACACGGCGCTTTGCCATTATGTGTAATGAGTGTGTCCGTTTAATTAGCACTCTTCCCCTGACCCTGACCCATCAGAGCACTCAAAGACCACAAATGAGTTAACAATGTGCGCTGCTCACTAAAGCAGTAAAGACGTTAACCTTTACACGTTTCACCTAGAAGCTCCCTGTCTTACCCTTACAGAAAGAAGTGCATATGAGTGTATAAAAATAGCTCACCCACACATAATTTGTTCATCATTTACATTATTAAAAATAATGTTTGCATGTATATATATTAGGGATGTAACGGTATCAGAATTTCACGGTACGGTAATACCTCGGTATGAATGTCACGGTACGGTATTTATTGAATCATTTACAGGAAAAAACAAAACTTATGGAAATACTCCAAAAAAGTGCCAAAAGTGTCAATGACATACAAATTAGTCATCTATCTGTAAGCTGTGAAACAGGAACTTCAATTTTAATAACAAAAAAAATATTAAACCATGTAAAAAAATTAAAGTTTCAATTTAGTATTGTTGAAAACTCATCACATTCAACATTTAATCACTCACTCACTTAGATAGAGATGGGTTTAAAGGAAAATTATCATATAAATATAATCTGGTAAAAGCTGGTATCTCTGGGTATTTACAATGTCCCCTGCAACAGAAAAAAACCCTCTCATTTGGGACTGAGGATCCTGGGACAAGAGAGATATGACTTGGCCCAGGTTGACAGCAGTGGGTAACGTTGTGCATTGTCTTTCCCCCACTTGAGAGGACAAACCATGAGTAAGATAGAGATCTCATGTCTGCATCAATCTGAACAGTGTGCTGACAACACCGCTATTCAGTACGCGCGTGACAACACAGCTGATAAGAACTCGCGCGACAACACAGCTGATAAGAACTCGCGCGACAACACAGCTGATAATAACTCGCGCGACAACACAGCTATTCAGTACGCGCGCGACAACACAGCTGATAACAACTCGCGCGACAACACCGCTATTCAGTACGCGCGCGACAACACAGCTGATAAGAACTCGTGCGACAACACCGCTATTCAGTACGCGCGCGACAACACAGCTGATAAGAACTCGCGCGACAACACAGCTGATAAGAACTCGCGCGACAACACCGCTATTCAGTACGCGCGCGACAACACAGCTGATAAGAACTCGCGCGACAACACCGCTATTCAGTACGCGCGCGACAACACCGCTATTCAGTACGCGCGCGACAACACAGCTGTTAAGAACTCACGCGACAACACCGCTATTCATTACGCGCGCGACAACACCGCTGATAAGAACTCGCGCGACAACACCGCTGATAAGAACTCGCGCGACAACACAGCTGATAAGAACTCCCGCAACAACACCGCTATTCAGTACGGGCGCGACAACACAGCTGATAACAACTCGCGCGACAACACCGCTATTCAGTACGCGCGCGACAACACAGCTGATAAGAACTCGTGCGACAACACCGCTATTCAGTACGCGCGCGACAACACCGCTATTCAGTACGCGCGCGACAACACAGCTGATAAGAACTTGCGCGACAACAGCGCTATTCAGTACGCGCGCGACAACACAGCTGATAACAACTCGCGCGACAACACCGCTATTCAGTACGCGCGCGACAACACAGCTGATAAGAACTCGCGCGACAACACCGCTATTCAGTACGCGCGCGACAACACCGCTATTCAGTACGCGCGCGACAACACAGCTGTTAAGAACTCACGCGACAACACCGCTATTCATTACGCGCGCGACAACACCGCTGATAAGAACTCGCGCGACAACACCGCTGATAAGAACTCGCGCGACAACACAGCTGATAAGAACTCCCGCAACAACACCGCTATTCAGTACGCGCGCGACAACACCGCTGATAAGAACTCGCGCAACAACACCGCTATTCAGTACGCGCGCGACAACACCGCTGATAAGAACTCGCGCGACAACACCGCTATTCAGTACGCGCGCGGCGACAACACCCGCTTTAGAGTTTTCCAGCTCTTTTTCATCCCCGCTTCTAGCAGCACACTCCATTTCCGCATTACTGGATCTGTAGCGACAACAGACCGCAAGGGATGATGGTCAAGCATGGGCTGATGGGAATTGTAGTTTTCGCTACCTCCCGTTCGCTTCATTCGCCTGAGCAAATTTTCTCAGAAGACCTATAGTTTTACAGAGTCATGCGACTTCGGTAATATCGAAAAATATTAATATTGCGGTATGACGGTATTTACAATACTGTTACATCCCTAATATTTAGGGACATTTGGTCATGAAAATGTTGACTTAAAGACTCCCACTGATGTCTCCTGAATCATCATTCAGCAAGTTATTAGACATGTGCATGAAGCATCTGTTTTCTGTATCATTTGTCATTTCAGTAATAATAAAACACATTTAGAGTGTGTCTCTGTGTTCTGAAAAATAAATATGGCCGTTAATCTATTCTCAAAGTTGGCTTGGGAGCTATTCTACGCAAGTTATGATGACTTTCACCTTGATATTTTAGTGCAGATATTTGGCGTGGGTTTCCTCCGGGTGCTCCGGTTTCCCCCACGGTCCAAACACATGCGCTATAGAGGAACTGATGAACTACATTGGCCGTAGTGCATGAGTGCGTGTGAATGAGGTTGCATGGGTTGCGGCTAGAAGGGCATCCACGGTGTAAAACATATGCTGGAATAGTTGGTGGTTCATTCAGCTGTAGCCACCCCTGATGAATAAGGAACTATGCCAAAGGAAAATGAATGAATGAATGTACATATATGCGTGTGTGTGTGCATGTGTGTGTGTGTGTGTGTGTGTGTGTGTGTATTCACACCTGCACCACCCCCATGCAGGAGTCCAGGAAGATGGTTCCTTTGGGCTCTTTGTTGATCTTCTCGTCCTTGTAGAAGTTAAGGTTGTAGGATCCGTCGCTCAGCTGCGACAGCTGGAAATACCTCCTTTTGAAAGACTGACAGACAGAGCAAGAGTGTAAATGAGGCGAGGAACACAAATGTGTGTGTGTGTGTGTGCGTGTGTGTGTGGGCAGAGGGAGTCAGGATGCTTTACCTCACACAACTAAACAAACACACATTATCT